CTTTACCTATATGCTGTTTTTTTCTCCTTCAGTGCTAATGAAGTAATTTGCAACCTGGGCAACTAATTCAGCATGCAGAGCCAGCCATAAACATAGTAAAAGGCAGGAAGGATTCCATCTTAAAATAAGATTGCATTTTAAAACCCAGGAAGAAGTTAAGATTCTTAATTTACTCTTTAGCAAACGGACAATAGCTCAACCCACCTTGGGGGCTGGACAGACAGTTTTGTTTGATACGCTCCCAGACCAAGATGCTGGTATCTCAGGGAGAAATCATAGTAGTAAATTCCTTGTTTTTTAAAAATATTCAGGGACCACTGAACAAGTCTGTACCCCCAGCCTCTGGTCACATTCCTGAAAATGCTTAAAAGGGGAAACCCCAACCTTTTAGTGTGCTCCTCTGAGGTCACCTGCACTTTCTAAGTGCATAACTTTTTCACCAATCTTTCAGTGCACCTCCCCTCTGAGGTCGCCTGTACTGTGTGTAGCCTTAAAACTTTCTCCAGCCTTTCACAGCCCCTCTTCTCCCTGTCACCTGCACATTTTCTGTTTAAGTAATTTTAAATAAAACTTTTACTCTGCTTCACTAGTGTGTCTCTGCTCTTCAATTCTTTGTTGCGGTGGGGACAAGAACTGAGGAAAAGACACAACGCTCCCCCAACAATGTGAACTAGGAATTCTTAGTATCTTGCCTGAGGGACCTGAGCCAGGACACAAACCTAACTCTGACCTAAAAGCCTGTTTTTAACTGTATCATACTTCTTTGTACCAAGCCACAGTGTTTATACCAAATATTTGGCATCTAATTACAAAGACAGGGAAAAGTAACTGAAGCATAGTTAAGGATTCTATATGAAGAGACTATAATAATTTCAGCTTTCTAGTTCACAAACATGAAAATCACCTAAATCTATAAACTTAGGAACGGTGATGAACAGTGGCAACACAACAAGAGTTATCAAATTCTTTAACCAGTCAATAACAAATTAGAATTGAGGACTGGGCTATAAAACAATCACTATTTTATTAAAGAAAAATACTAGACTGGATAGATTTGGGGGATCTATCCAGAATGTTATTTCAATGGGTATCATAATGCAGGCTTCAGTTTGGTATGTAATTCTATAGCACGTATATCTCCTTTCTAGGTTCTACACTGACAGGTCCATATTTAGCTTTTGTGCTAGAATGGCTCTTTTTACATCTGTGATTTTTAATAGAAATTCACTGGTTTATGGAAAATGCAGTCCTTTAGGAAGAAAAAATCATTTATTTGGAGGTTACGTGTGAATGGATTTTCAACTAGTAATATCTACCACCCACCTCATTTAATTCTACTGACTGCATTGTTTTGATACCCACTCAAAAACTCAAGCTTATCTATCTAATTTATGGCAAGTGTATTTTAAAAGTTGCTTCAATGGAAACAAGTTACAGTATCTAACAAAGCTATAAAGAGGTGAGGTCTTTTTCTTTGAATATCAGCATCTCAGGTAAAAAGCAGCAGTATGATTTAAGTAGAGAAAAGCATGGACTTTAAAAGTAACCAGAAAGTTCTTGACAGAAAATTCAAATAGTAGGTCTGTCTCTTAGTGTAAGATGGGGTAAAGTTAATCTTTTTGCATTTAGTTGCTTGCTCTGATCTCTTCTGAGTAAAAAGCCCCTACTATTAAACTTCTTCCTTGATGGAAAACCAGTGTGCAGGTCTGACTCCAGATCACTTAAATCAGATCTTTGCAGGTGGACCTGGTGATTAAGGTTTGTGGTTTTTAAATAGTTCCTCTGGGATTTGAATATACCACCAGGGTTAAGTTATGACTTAAAAGGATTCACTTGCCTATCGAGTAAGATCAACTTGAACCAAAGTTCTTGGTGTGATGAACACTAGCTGTAGGTCAAGTGTCTAGAAATAACCATTGCATATCCCTACCTAGCGTGTCCTTACTTGCAAGGATTAAAAGTGGAGATGCTAGGCTGCAGAAAGAGCCTTCCAGATAGGTGGTGTGTTCCCAGTCCCTTCATACTATTTGAAAGACGACAACCTTTGTGGTAACTTAATTCCACTGGACATGCTACCTGGGTGGTTGGTTGCTAGAGACATAAAGGATGTTCCTCCAGTCATCTGTTTCCTATGAAGCCAGTCGCAATCATTCCTCTGACAAATTACTGGGGGAAAAAACCCAAAAATTAGATGAGAAATTCATTCAACATAAAATACAATGGCTCTGGTATTTCAAGGAAATTCCTTAAGATGAGCAGGCAGGGACAAGGGGAAGATGAGTGGGAATACTATAAATCAACAGATAAAGGGAAAAATTTTGTGAGCCTTTGCAGGTGACCTGAAAGTTAATATACTTTATTGTGATTTTCTACACTCTGTAGAGCAATATTAATATTCACAGCAAATTTAACAAGGATTTGAATGCCAACTATGTAGTGTCCTAGTCACTATACCCTTACAGTAAAATGTACCCACTGTTGAGTCCTTGAGATTTCACCTATCACATTAGAAATGGATTTACCTGAGTCTGAACCAAAGTATTAATCATTTAACTTCATACTGTAATTTTATCTCTCTCAAAAAGCATACTAGCAGGTGAAATGAAAAATGCTATGTGAAATGGAATGCTTGAAGTAACAAGTAGGCTCTTAAAATAAAACTGTTATAAAGTTACAAGTGAAGCTTACTCTTAGATCCTTTTCAATGAACACCTGAGCAAATAATGCAAAAGTACAATGCTAGCAGACTACATGTTTCTGAATACTTGTTATTAATGCATGGTACATCTTTTTATCAAGCTAACGAAGGGAAGAACTAGTATTTAGTACACTGTAGTTGACAACTTAAAGAAGAAAGGATGTGGGAGACAGGTTAATCACCTACTTCTTTAAATGGCTCCCTTTTCATTTTACAGGTACCAACTAGCAGTATGACTACTTGAAGGCAAGTAAGTAGTTCAAAAGAAAGACAAGAGGTTGGTAGCTAATTTAGTTTCTATTAATGTAGAAACACCAGAGTTTTGTATAAACATTTTAGAAAACCCAGTTGTGATGAGGCCAGTCACCAGAAAATGGACCTGATAAAACTTGCTCATCAAAGTAAACAAGTGACAAGTTTATTTTTATAAAACCCAATGTTAGGAAATTAAGACAGATTGGAAAGATACCCATAGAATGCTAAACAGAAGAGGCTTTCTGTTTGTTAAACAATGCACAGTAACTAAGCTATAGAAGGCAAATGTAATTAGCTGAAAGCAAGTCATGGGATCCACAACATACTCCAAAAATCTCTTTACTCTTGTTTCTAAACGAGAAGATAATTTGTACTTACTGAAACCAAGTTGAAGATTTACTAACAGCAAAAATCTTGTAATACAGGTAGGAAAATTTCCATTATATATTTATCACCATCAGTTTTTTTTTCAGTTAGCAAGAATTGTACCACTGGTATGAAATAGTAGTCCCTTAAAATACACAAAAAGGCCTTATATTTTTGAAATGTTAAGAACTATATTGCAGTCTTGTTAGATTGCCAAGTATCAACTTCATTTTTGCTGTAAGTGGCCTCGAAGGTCTATATTCTGTTTTTGGCACACAGAACTCCAGAAAAAGCACTGAAGATTAAGTTCCCAAGCTTGTCTATAGTTGACAATTTAGTAAAATTTCAAATTTAAAAAGTACCAATTTTTTCTTCCTATAATCCCAAAATGGCATTGCTTCAAAGGCAACTGGATAAACCAAGAGGCTGGAAACCTTTAGACCCTCTTTCCAACAACATACTGCTCCCTTTCCTTCTGTGCATTTTTATGACATACCAGCAGTGTTCAATAGGCTGTATAACCTACGGTATGTATTATCTTCTGCAAAACATATTGTATGTTACCTATACAACATCCATCTTGTGGGTCACATATTAGAAAGATGAAAGTGCAGTTCAATAAAGAATACCTTTTCCAAAAACATTTTATTGCTAAAAGTTGTAAGATTTCAAACCATTAAAATTGAAACAAAACTTAAGGTTTCAGCTCCTTATGGTGCAACATAGCCATTTCATGGGACTTTGTTTTTAATTTAGGTTTGGTAGTGGATTGGGCAAAGTTCAGACAATAGGAGAATATTATCAAGAAACCTTGCCTGTAAAGAGGTGGAGCATAAACTAGAACAGGAAGACTACCTTCTATCTGAAAGGTCAGTCTTTCTCTGAATTCTTAATTTCTAAATTTAAGGCTGATAAATACTAAGACAAGCAACACGTATCTAAGAAAAACTAACAGTTCACTTTTTACCTTTTTTTCCAAACATGCTACATATGGCAACTGAAATACTCCTAGAAATTGTGCAGGAGAGAAACTTCCCTGAATTTATCACCACCTACCTGAATGTAGACCACACTTCCCTGGCCTCTTTTACAATCACAGCTCTAACAGCAACACACCATGGAGTACAAGCAACACTGTGAAAAACAAGGGCCTGATAAGACCCCAGAAAAACTATTCACTATGTTGGGACTACTATTAGTCATACTATTATAGGTCACGCTTTGTTCTTATGCATAATAAATACAGAAAAATGTTGAAAATGACTCAACTATCTAATTAAAGCTGAGTATACTAACCTCAGATTTTAATTTTTAAATGAGAAATGACAAGAGTAGTAAATATAAAGAAAAACAAAAATAACTTTACTTTCCTATGTTAATACAGGTCAAGGGACCCTTTCTTCAAAAGGGTTGATAACACCAGTTCTTAGCAATAAACATAAGGCACTTGTTAAGAGTACAACAGCACTGCATTTTTTTTCCCACTTGTTTTTCTAACCCTGTTTTTCCCCCACAGCATCATTTGGAATTAAAAGAGTGAATGAGGCAAATGTGAGATGATCCATCCAGTTGATACTATTCAGAGCACGAAAGTACAGTACAATGTCTTAAGGGTGATGTCTGGACATAAAATGAACCCTGTCAAGGTCCTCTGACATCAGACAATGTATTCACTATCAAGTAAACCTGAAAGAAAATAAAATATTTATTCAATAATTCCAGTAAAACTGGGTTGGAATACAATATACATGTTAGGAATTTAAGTTCCTTAAGGTGGAATCTGCATCGAGTTGAGAATGAATATTCATTCTAAGACAATCTACATAGTTTGAACATCGTCAAGACAAATATATGAATTTCATTTCAATATACAGTAGAGTTTAAACATAACCCACACATACATCCCCTAGTATATATGGCTGGTGCCTCCTCCAAACACCTCTGTAGCGGCAGAGGTAGCACTAGTGTTCTGTCCCAAGAGTAAGCACTTCAGTAGCCACTCATAGGAGAGGTTGAAAAAGGGTTTGTTTTTGCCATCTGTTAAGGTGTTCCTGAGACAGGGCCAGTTAATAAAACCTAACACAGTACTGGAGTTCAACTTGTACTTGTCTTAATGTCACCAGATTGTTAGACCGGGATGTGGAATGCAGGTCACGTACTATAAAAGGCTGCGTTTAGCACAACAGTTCAATCAGTAAAAGGAACAGGTCTCCTGAAAATTCCCTTTAGAATATACTTTCTATAAACTAAAAGTACCACAGAAAGGTCAATTATAAATACAATTCATTCATTCTACTTCATCTTGTCCAGATCTTGCAAATGCAAAGAGAATAGTGAGCCTGAGGCTAGTTTTCAGTGTTTAGCATTTCAAGGCTCATTTTCTCAAAATAGCAGTTTTCAGTTTTCCTTTCAAATTATGAGTTAAAAATTACATTCATAGTGCCTGCTGCCACCCGAGCCCTCAATAAAATCTTAACACAGGACCACTACACTTGCATTATGGAATTTCCCTGACACCAGCATTTAGCCCATTCTAAAACTTCCCACCTGAACTAGCCTGACAGCACAATACACTGCCTCTGGCTCTGCACCTCTGTTTCCACCTGTGTATTTTCACAGAAGCCCAACAAAGATTAGCTGAAATATTCACACAATTGTTTTTCAAAACAATTTATTGCATCATATTTGGTACCTTGTGTTTGACAACAAAAAGGAAATTACATCTGTAACTGCAGGAAAAAGAAGCTGGTCTGTTATTGGAAAAAAAAAAATCTTGGGCCCTTTAAAAATTACAAAGTCTTGGGCTTGCCTGAAACAACTGAGCAAGAAATATATTCTTAGAAATGTAGGGCTTCAAGTATTACAAACCTGTGACACTGTGGAAAAATTCCAGAGGTATCTAAACTGCAGCACTTTTTTCTGCATATCGTGAACAAGGCCTGCTGAGGTTTTTATCTATTAGTCTCTTGATCAGTCATAGAATGGTAGTCAGGAGTTCTGCTCTTTAACTTCAAGCCATGGTAGATTTTCTTTTTTCACTCTTGGGTGAAAAAATTCATGCTTGCTAATTAGTTGGTGCCACATCACAGTGCATTTGGTTCTTGCATTACAGTTTTAACAAGTTTGGCCAAAACAATGCTGAAAGGCCTGCATTGTTATTTTAGTTCTTCAAGTTTCAGTTAAAATTGAGATTGTTCCAACTGGTTCCTTCAGTTAAAAACTGTGGTACAAGAACACCAAACTGATCGTGTACAGTGAATTTTGGAAACACAACAAGCATACTGAACACCCTCGAGGTCTCATAATTCTGCTTGGTATCTCTACATCCCAGCTTCTACAACATCAAGCATCTGTTGTAGTTTCTCTGTAAATAGTGATTCACATTGCATACTTCCTATGGTCAGATTCAACCCCGTAACAAAATCAGTCAGATGCTAAAGCCCCAACAACTCTTTGTGCTCAGTGAAAGAATCCAGTGCTAAAACAGCATTTCTGCTGTCTGAGATATAGTAAAATCTCACAAGACAAATTTAAAGTAATATTTCTGCCACACACCTGCTTTGTTAGCTGTAACAGCCTCCAGAGTTTATATAAATTAGTTTAAAAACATGGGTGGGTAGGTAGGAATAGAATAAGGTATCTTTTTTATCCCCTCAATTTTAGCAGCTTTTAATTTCTTAAGAAACTGAACCTATATCCTGTAGTATGTTAGATATTTTATATATACTTTTTCAGCAGGATAAAAAACGTAAAACACTATTTGAAGGCAAGAACATGTACTCTTCTCATTCTGTGTAAGTTAGAGCAATGCAGCAGGTGCGTGACAAAAATATTATACACTAGATATGGTCCAAAGTCATTCCATTTGCTTGTTTTATGATGTTCAAATTTCATTGGCCAGTTCTTCAGTTTCTGCAGAGCTATCTCCATTAACTGTGATCTTCATATCCTCTTCATATCCAGGAGGCATGAAAGCCAAAGCGTAAGGGAAAAGCTTATGACAATTTGCTCTATAAACTTCAGCAGCTTCTTTACAGTCTCCTAGGCTACCATCAAACAAGGCTTCTAATATCTCCATACATGTCTAAATAAAGGAAAAAGGTCATGTTATAACTTATCAAAAAAGTTTTTACTGTGAATTTATTAGGTATTTCATTATCAACAGTTCCAAAAAAAAGGCATATGTACATATTTAAGATAACAAAATATTGACTCCCACATATGCATACATTACATTAGAATTAGTTTCTTCAGAATTGCAGGTTTTATATAAAAGGGTGACTATATTAACAGGTTTAGGACTAAGGTTGGACAAGCAAGCTGCATAAGGTGCTACAATATTCTCAGCAAATACTCAACCCTAGGTGGCAACTTGCCCCCACCTAGGCTGGCCCTGTGTAAGTCAGATTTTACATGCCAATAGCAATTACTGCACTTAAGCCTTTTAGTTTTTTTGGAGACCTAAAACAAGTTGGCAAAATCGAACAAACATTGTTTTTCAACACTTTATTAAAAAGAACCTTAATGTGTATCTAATAACTAAGCAGGAGAGAGGGTCTCAAACTTGAAGGAAATACAATTTGTCCATGAAAATTGATAAGTCTTTCAACTAAACCCCTAAGTAGGTCTGTTGCTTCTATTTTTAAATGATTCATGGTAACTTGTATTTCTCATGTTTTGTTTCACCTTTTCACTTTGAAAACATGGTAGAGTTTCCAGATATATAATACCCTATAAACTCTGCCAGTCTAGAAAGGCTCTAATCAAAATGATGCATTAATTAGCAACCAACAATTTTTCTTTCTTAAAGATATTTCCTTCATTTGCTCTTAAGAAATATATTTAACTATCTTTCAGGAGGTACTTTTTTATCTGGCCATTTATCACATGAAGTAGCTGTCCTTTGTTTTCTGTCTAAACTAGAATCTACATTTTACAACCTACCCATATTATCTTGTACTCAATCCCATGTTACAAGCTATGAAATGAGTATTCTAATTTAACTCCTCATAAATACATCTTAAATATGTCAGAATCTTCAGAGACCGCTGCTTGCTCATAAATGCACAGATATAAATTGAAATCCACAATCAACTATGGCATGTATATATGATTTTAGAAAAACATTATTTCTAAAAGCAAATCACTGTAAGTAACAGACATAACTTTAGTCCCTGAATGCCACATGGCCTGCTGTGCACTGTGCATCATGCATACACACAGTCCTAAGTACAGGGAAGGGAAGGGAAGCTTCTGACATGGCTTCATACTGGTTTGGAAAACAGTATGCATAAATTTAAAAAATGATCTGGTGAAAATTATTCTTTTGATGAAAAAGAAAAAGAAGTCAGGTCCTCTTATACAAAATATGAAAAACATTACCTGGAGGTTCCTGTTGGTGAGGGATTCGTCAAGTGTTGTTGCCAACTCTACAGCTCGCTTCTGACTAGAAGGATCTAAATAATATACCATTTTGGCAGCTAAATGAGAAGAAAAAAGGGAATTATTCTTATTCAAGGTAAATCCAGTATCTTACCCTCTTTTCATTCAAATATAAAATGCAAGGTATATGTACACACAGAGTGTGGCACTTTATTAGAAAAATGAGAATAGCCATCTGAATCACTGTTTTTAAAAAAATCCTGAGAGGATAGACCAGAATTAGCCTAACTGTCCAAATCAGGAAATCAGGAGAATGATTAAGGTAAGAAGGACTCTGAAGAAATACCAGTATTTAATAATATTTTTGTGTTTGGTGGGACCATGGATAGTTTTTTTCTTTCTAAAATGAGAGTTATTTGGAGTTGAAAGGAAGACCCCATTAAATGTGTGTGTGTTAGAAGGGAGGGTACATGACTGACAGTGCAAGCCAAAAAACTGAATTCAGAATTCTACAAAGGCATACAAAGTTTCTGGGCTTCTTAAGCCTAGTATTTTAAAAGCACTCTACTGAAGTCACTACCCACATAGTCCCATCAAGTTCAGACTTTGGCTCACTAACCCTTGTCAGATGACCCTTGCCCGTAAGATAAGTTTCAGGTGTTTACAGTATCAATTCTGGTATCTTACATAAGCATGAGAAATGGAAGATGACAATCACGTTCAAGTGAATTTCAAAAGTACACTGATGGGAGAAAGAAAAGAAACAAAGTTCCTCCTCCGTTGTATGTGATGTTTAAAGCTAAATTCAGTTGTCTTGCTTCTTTGTAATGCCAATGCAGAACTAGGAGACTCTTCTGGTCTTTGTTCATGGGAATGATCTTGTCTAAGAAATTAAAAAATTTAAAGGAAGCATATATAAGATGCCTGTTTTCATGAGTTTAAAATGAGACATATACACATTGTCTCTTCCATGCAAAACAATGTGTAACCTTGTTACTGATCCATTAAAATAAAAACTGAAGTTGTTTCAGAAGGTTATAATAAAGATAAAGAAATTACCTGATAATCTGTGTGGCAATGAATCAGAATTCCTTTTCAGAAAAGTTTCATTGAAATTCTTTGGATTTGTTGCTCCAAAAAGACGATTCATTTCTTGTTTTAATACTGTTCTAACTGTATCAGGTAAATCTTTACTTTCACACACTGCTGAATAAATTAAAAACAAACTCTCTTAGCAGTTACTCTGATAAAGTTTGTAGGAGTTAAAAAATTATCTACTTGAATGAGGTCAATGAAACAAAGCAATTATATAGAAAGACTAGATGAATGTACTGACAGTTCAACACTTAAAGAGCTTACCTATATAAAATTAAAGACTGTCAGCAAAATAATGATTTTCTAAAGGCATTCAAAGATATTTCATTGATAAGATGATTAACCCAGAAAAGATCAGAAAGCAAAACAGATGATGAAAGAGGTAGTCCCATAGCCATCTATATGCCCCTAGGGCCTGCCCCCCTCAACTTTAAAGGGAATCTACAAAACAGCGGCTTTGCCAGCACCTACCTGGGAAATTATGCCACAGCAAATATACAGTGCCAAAGACAGCAAAATATTCCTTACCCTCTCCATCTTCTTCTATATCCAAGTAAGGCATACAAGTTTATCAATTCCAAGAGAACACATGGTTGACTTCATTGACCTTTCTTTTTAGGGGCTACTTGAACTGAGCTATAACTCCAAAGGACCAACAAAGATTTAAACTATAATGAATACACTGTGGTCATATTTCCAGGCTTTGGGATTTGGAGATGGAAAAGCTGCCCCTCAACCTCTGTGGACTAAACCTAGTTAGGCTTCTTTGTTCGCTACCATTTTTGATATAGAGAAACAAGTCTGGAGCTTTGAGCAAGATAGACCAGGTATGGATCTAGGCTTGGACAAATCATAACCTCTCTGAACCTATTTCTTGATCTGTAAAACTGAGGTGGTATCTAACCTAGAAGGATCACAATCAGGACAATTTACATTCAATAAATTACAGTTACTAATTTTATCACAGATTGAAAACAAAAACAGATTTTCCTTATGGTTAGGAACTGTGGTGGCAGCTTTCAAACTTTGACTACAATCAAATATTTGTACTCTGATGAAAGTGTATTCTATATGCATAACTTATTAAATGAAGCAAAAGTTTCACAGAACACTGACCCCTTACCTTTCTTTGCACAATGTATGCTGTATTTTCTACTTTATTTCTATTTTAGGTTTTAGTGGTAATGACCCACTAAACTGCTTTCATTGTCTCACTAATGGATCACTACCGTAAGTTTAAAAAACACAGAATTCTTTAGTAATAAACATCCAAGAAATATTCCACAAATAATTAGCAACTGAATGACTGATATACCCTCTGTTGGTTAAACAGTATTTCTTCTATCAGTCTGTAGTATTGGGTGGTTCAAAAAAAATAAGCTACCTGTTAAGAAGTTAGCTTCCTTTACACTATGGCTGTACTTTCAACTCGGTTTTAGCAATTTTTATATTATTTTTCAAGGGGGCATAGGAACTTACGGAGAACAGAAAAGTTGTCAAAATAGGTTATAGCCATTATAATGAACATTATGTCAAAAAAAACAGGTCTTCTATAAAATATATTATTTCCATGGGCTTGCTGGTTTGCCTGAAATACATTAGGGACACTTTATATGCAGAATGGAAAGTAACTGTATGTACAGTTTGTGTTACAGTTTCTTACAGGGAGCTGTTAAGCTTTTCATGTTTTTCATCACCTTCATGAACTTGTTAAGCAGTAACTCAGGTTAAATAATCTCCCCAGAAAAATCAAAACTGCTTAAAAGAAAAACCACACTATTAAAAACAAATATGTAAATACCTATCAATGGTGTTTGGGATATGAGTACATATTTAAATAACTCCTAACTTCCACTAATAGCTGTTTACAAAAATATTTCCACTAATTCAAAAACGTTTGAGGCCAACTCAGTTTTCTCCCCTCTTCTCATGTAGACTGGAACTGTAATTTCCAGGAAAATGCTAATCACACACACAAAAATTATACTGCAATAAAACAATGTCCTATGAAATTCTGTATAATGCTGTTTTACCTGTACCTTAAGGAAAGGTGGACCCAATGTCACAGCTATTAGACAACGTTTTACTGCTAAACACTAATGGGGGGTGAAATCAATCTAAAAACCTTTGAAAGTGACAAAAACTAACAAAAAAACCCAATAAGTCCTCAGGAAAGTAAAAAGTCTCAGGCTACTCAATTACCTTCCAGGATGTAATAATAAGCCTTGTGACTCAAGGAAACATAACAGTTGATTGGGAGGAGGGGAATAATACCCTCCTCTTAAGGGACTTTTGAGTCCTCTGACATACTAAAATTAAAATAATGTTTGGTTCATGCTATTAGCTTATTAACAGATTAAATTAATTTAGTAACTGCTGTTAACAGTCACAATGAAGAAGGGTGTGATTCTTAGGAACAGGAATTCGCTTAGTTACAGCTGGTATTTCTGTTAATAATTTGGGTAAAAAATGTTCCTATTTTGCATGAGATAATGCCTACTCATGACCACATTACAGTACACAACCTACTAAATGATCACCACTCCAAATGGCAAAACTAGATAAATGAGCATATTAACCAAGGTTTTTTTTGGGAAATACATTAACTACAGAAGAAATATAATCTGCAGATGAAAGAAAAAGAAGAAATGAGTTTGTACAAATGACAGAGAAAACTGATAAAAGATTCAGTATAGGTCAGGGTGGCCAAATAGTACTAATTTTAAAAGCATATAGAGGAATAAAACAATTGAATACTTAAGCTTCTATCTTTTACTTAGCACTGACCAGAATTGTAATTTAAATTGCTTTAAATCACAACAGCTTTTTAAAACAAAGCAAGGTGGAAAACTTGAAAATGGTACCAAATCATCCTCATAATTAAAAGGAGGAGAGGAACAGCCTACATAATAAATGGCTTCGTGTAACTGATATTAATAACATTGGTAGCATTAACACCATGGAGATTTAGAATGTGCCCACAACCATGGTAATGAATATTCACTTGGAGAAGTTTCTAGAGCTAATGAAATAGCTGTTGAATTGTTTTTTTCCTTCTATATTTCCCAGAAAGGTTTTGCAAGGATTTCCTTGTAAAGGGATTACTACAATGTAACTTAACATGACAAATGTGCTCCTGAAAAATTACTTCAAAGTTAAATCTTTTGAAAAAAGCAAATATATTAGTTAAAGGAACCCTGTGAGGTATAAAAAGGATGCCCTTATTTTGTCTTTCTGTCGTTTCACAAATTCCTTTTCGTACAAATCTGTAGTTAACAAAGGTAAGAAGCAGTCTACCCAACTTCCTGAAGGTTTTTAAAAGAGGCAGTGCATCTTTATCACTCCAAATTATCACTGCTTCCATTGTCTAAATTCAGTCAAAATTAAGGATTACTTTGTAAATCTTTCCTTGACAATGAAGTCAGTAGGATACCTGGAGCAATGGGCATATAGCTAACATGGACACACAGTAATTCTAACTTTTACATCAGGACCATTCTGCCTTTGTTCCTCTGAAGTCCATGAGCATTTTTATTTTCTGAAACAACTATTCCAAGAAAAGTTATATGTTCATCATTTCACATACTCATTTTAAGCAAATAATTTAAATATGCCACTTTTAGTTCTTATTACAAAGTAAAGTCCCTAACTCTATAGGACTATTAAACGTACTACCTTTCAGGAAAGAACTGACTGTATAAAAACAAAGCAAGTATGTCAGTTTGAAAGCAATTAAAGTGCACTCCATCCTTATTAAGAATGGATTGAAACTGTTATTTCTAGGCTTAATTTTGATTCACAACTTCAAGATTTTTTAATACAGAGACTAAAAAGAAATAAACACTTTTATTTCCTCTCAACAAAGCAATTCTTTCTTCTATTTTCTATACTGTGGTTATATTATTTCTTACTTTCAGAACTTAAAAAATTGAAAAACATTTCTGTGATTCAGTTTCTGTAACAGGAATTACTTTTTAGGCAAGCATAAATATAATTTAAGTAACACCTGACTTTTTCTTAGACATCAAAACAATGTTCTTAATTGGGAAAACTTGGCATTTTTTAAAAACTGATGGGAGTGCCTAATTTAATCTCATTTTTATATAATGTATACATTCATAAGGGGCTGAGTATTTAGCAATGAGATAGCTAATTTAACAGTATTTCCAAATTCTGCAAATTGTTCTATTAAAGATTCAATTTCTCCTTCTCTAGTCACTTTAAAATCAAAACACTATGTGACTACAGGAGCACTTTATTCTAAATGTTAAGCTCTTGTAGTAGAAAAAACAATACAAAGACCTGGGCTCTCATCTCTATTATCTATTATCTATTATCTATGGTACCTTGAATAAGTAATTTCATTTTTTAGGGTCCCCGATTTCTCAACCGTAAAATGAGAGATAATTAGCATAAAATTCCACCTTTTTTTAATTCTCTAGCTCTACTTCACACTATCTGTACAATTCTGTAGCTCACATTTTACACAGTCAACTATGATTGTTTTAAAGTTCTTTTTAAGCTATATTTAGTAACAAAAATTTTATGACTCAAAGAATTGTACTAGAGACAGAGATAACTAGTCAATTTTAATGAGAATCTTCAATTTAGAACAATTTACTAAAAAATAAAAAGCTTTACATAATGAAATATAATTCAAAACTTCAACTTACAAGTAACTTTTTAGAAACAGAAACAAGGGTGATTCTCAATAAGGTGGACTGAATAATTCTATGTCAAAAGTAACAGTTTGGGCTTTAAAATAAAGACTTTCTTCACAAAGAAAAAAACCCTGCCTTCCTCCTTACATAATTTAATTAGCAACAGTTTTTAAATGATTGCATTTTTATGAAAGACTTATACAGATCACTGACACAGGCACTATCAACTACTGTAATCAAATACTTAAGTAATGGAAAACAAAACATACCAGTACTAAAGAGTCGAATCATACACTCATGAAGCCAAGGATGACTAGAATCAATAGCAAATGCCCTCTTTACTGATTGTAGCATCAAAAGAAACTTTTCTATAAAAAGAAAAAGATATATTTTGGTCATTTGATAAAGTAAGATGCCCTCCCTTTAGAGGACTAAGACTTTTACAAGTAGAGAAACTAATTAGAGTCAATCATACCTGAACTGCAACATATGACTAAACCAAATGATTTCTTCAGATTAGAAACATTAGCTAACATTTTCCACAAAACATTCTTCAAAAGAAAGTTTTATCAAGTATTAAGAATTTAAGACAGCTGAACCATATTGGAACTTACACCATATATACAAAATTTGAAGCCAGTTTGTTTCGTAGCCTCTTTAATCACCCAATATTTAGAAAACTTCATTGTTTTTACGCTTGAAATTACCCTTGCTTGCATTTTTTAACATGTGAAGTGGTTTCTCCCAATTGCTCCTCTCCTGTCTGTCTCTGGTACCTCCTCTCCCTCAAAAGATACAGAATTCACTGAGGTTATGCTTTTAGTCATTTTCTAATCTTTCTACTGTGCTACCCACCACCATGTACTCTCTACGTTTCCCAAGCTTCAGTAGTACTTCCACCAGTTGAATGCAAGTTTGCATCTGAATACTCACTAAACTTCTAAGTCTCATCTATAACCACTTCTTTGTTAGACTTCTGTAATTTGGTATCACTCTCCAAATATCAAAATTCAAAGCCTGAGGTTTCTCTATTTCCTTTTTTACTCCCAACACTGAGGGAGCTAAAAACACTGCCATGCTCTTTGCCACTGCCCATTTCACAATGCAGCAGTGGACTCCAAATGCTGGAGAGCCAGCCCTTCACAGGTCAGAACACAGCCAAGGAGCCAACTGAATGGAATTTCAATTACCCTTCCCCACTTTAAGTAGAACACCTTTTTTTCCCCATACTTTTGAGATTCCATTTAAGAATATGTGTTAAAACAGGAGTTGTATTAACTGTTAAAAAAAAAAAAGTAAATTACTGGACTACTTTTTCAACTTATTTTCCAAATAACAACATAATCATTATATAAAATAGAAAATATAGTAGAAATATTTTCATAACTCAAATTCCATCAAAAGGCAATGTTATCTTTTACTCTCTCTCTTCCTGGCCACTTTTCTATTTTACATACCCATGTAATTACCTTAATAAAGATTAAAGTCAAATTACAGTTAGTTTTATATCCTATTGTCAAGCAGTGTTATATAGCAGCTCTTCCCAATATTACTACTTTTGATAAACATGATTTTTTTTAATGGATACACTATAGAGGTATCATTTTAGTAGGATAATTATACTGTTTGGAGTCTTCTATCAGATTTTACTAGATTCTCTTTCCCTCAATACACATCATTTTATTGCTAGTAATATACTTTTTTTTCCCAATGAACCACTTGGGTTACATCAATTCAATAAGATAAAATCTTAGTGTCTACTATATATAGTCTAAGCATTCTAAATATAGCAACCAAGACTCTTCACATACCTTTTACCTAACTCAGGCAGCAGAGACTACCTCAACAGTATTTACATATACTTGTGTTTTCTTAACGGATCCTCTTTCCTTCTATTCATATTTTCTTTTACAAATATGATCCATCCTTCAAGATATACCTCAAGCACTGAATTTTCTATTTATAAAAATAGCTAATAGCTAACATTTACTTAATTCTTACTGTGTGTACTAGTCACTATTCTAAGCTAGATATATGTATTAATTAATTTTATCCCTGCATGGTAATTACTGTATTTGGCCTTAACCCTAGTTATATATGTGTATTTATCACTGATTTTGATGTCCTAGAAGAGGTAATCATAGTATTGTACCTCCCCACAACATTGTTACATAGCACGCATTTCTGTGAGGAAGATGCATTGGCATTTGCCAAAAAACAACTTCTACAGTGGTGAGGTTAATAGACTTGGGTAACTATATCTAAGAAATACAGTGATCAATTTTTATCAGGGCCACTATACCCTAATCGCCTACCTTTCCTAAAGTAAATCTCAAAGGCAAAAAGATGAGTTTCTATCTTGTTCTTCACCAAGTTCTTCAACGGTGTTAAAAATTTAATAGCTTCTTCCAATGGAGTTTCAACCTAACAAAAATAAAAGATATTATACAAATGGAAGTAAGATTTTGGGGGGATGTGATATTACTCTATTAATGACACTTTTTTAAAAATCACTTACCCATCACCCAGAAATACACTGTCATATTTTAGCCCTCCATAATCTAAAGTAAAGGAAATATTACCTCTAGAACTCTTCTGGTTTTTAACCATAGAGATTACATTATCTCTGGATAGAAACTATCCAACAAGTAAGGAAAAAGATAAAACAGAACAAGGGAAAGAAAGCTAGTAAGAGAAACAGTTAAGATAGCTGAGGGGGAAAAAAAAGTTAAGAGGGAATGTGAAATAGGATGGAGAGGTAAGAAGAAAACTATAGAGAACATTATAAAATGAGTAAATGTTCTTTTAAAATTCAAAGTGAAGTGTAACCAAGCTATTTTAAAAAGTACAATATACACTGCCTTGCTTCATTCCAATACAAATTCTATAGAGACCGGTGTTTATTCAAATGCTATACTAATGGTGAGATGGCATTTGAAACGTTTTATATTAATGGTACTTCGTCTCTATTACACCCTTTATTAATTATATAAATGTCATATTAATTATATATTTTTAATCATTACTGGGCAGGTATAATGTTTACTACATAATTGGCCACCTTTATACTCCTAGACTGAGTATTTAGATAAAACTATTCTCTGTAGAATTAGACTTGGGGTGGATTATGATTGTGCATTGAGTCCCCTGTACAGAATTTTATTGTTGTTAACTGTTAACAACCATTTGATCAATAAATATGAGAGATGCCCTCTCAAAAAAAAAAAAACTATTCTCTGTAGACTGGGATGGTGGTGGGGAACACCACCATATTTATCAGAAAGACACTGAATATCTGGGTTCTATAATTTGCCTTCTCTCATCATAGGAACAGTAAGAATTTACTCTCCATGGAATTTGGTTTTACCATAGCTGTCCTGCCCAACATGCCCCTATCAGTACAGTAACTGTGGCTTCACTAATATATAATCTAGACAAGGAAGTTATTTCACAGCATTAAAAAACAAAAACAATAACCACAATGTTGCTCATGTGATATTAATGATAACAAAAAAAAAAAAAAAAGAAAGTAAACCCTTGTAACAAGCCAGTTAACTTGCTGTAAATTCTAAGCATAGGACACTTTTTAAAACAAAGTCATAGCATTTATAAGACTTGAGAACTCAAAAGTTATAATCTGATTGTGACCTACCTCATTGTATAGCCCTGATTTAATTCTTAAAATAAAAGTATCAAGCTATGGCATTTTTATACTATAACTTATTTCATTATTTGATTAACATCACGACAAAAGACTGCTATACAAAATTTAATTTTTCTCAAGCAATGATGAAATTTGGCAATAAAGTATTCTTTAAGGTTTTCAAAAAAACAAAACAAAACAAAACAAAAATACAAAGAAAAACACATATTAAGTGATGTGTATGGGATTTACCTTGTACTAGTATGTAAAGCAGCTGGCATTATTCCTGAAGGATACATGCTCTAAATCAGAAATCAATATATGGCACTGTCACTCTAATAGCTGTAGATACCAAGAGATAGAGGAGAAAATAGGGACCCTCATAAATATGCCTTTCTCACATATTTATAAATATTTTTATTCTTATTCTCATGATTCTATGTTCCACTATGTTGGAATGTGTGGTATACAGGGGGAGAAATGTCTACCAAGGAAGGGTAAAGAACTGGAAACTGCAGCTGCCACCCAGCTCTATCAAACTTATCATGCCTTAAGGGATAGACTGAAATGAGGGTAACTGTACTGACCAGGGTAATTTGCCATCAGGGAGATATGACTGCTCATACAAAATGGAAACAACAAGGAATACAGGGAAGTCGAATCAATGCAAGCATTATACTTACTGAAATCAAGTACTTGAATTTGGTGGGGGTGGGAAATAAAAATTCATTTTGTCTGCAATTCTAAAACATAAGAACGTATGCCCCCATAGGAAATCTAGATCTGCTGCCCCTACATGTTTCTATGTGCCTCATAGGTAAGATTCTGTCAGGCTAAATCTATGTGTTTAGATATATGTACATGACCAAAATAAAGTTAACTACATTCTACATTTACATGTACATAGTACAATACAGTGTTATATATACAAAAACATATAAGAAAGGATGAGACTAAAATCAGTACTTCAAGACAAAAAATATTTTTTGTATAATATATATATATAAAATCAAAACTGCCCTGAAAAATTCCTGAAGTTATTGTAAAGACAGACATAAAGACAGATGAGTATATATTATCACTAGTTAGAACTATGTGTATGAAAACCATGTATTTAAGCACCAAAATCACAATCACTGTAGCAAAAAGTCCACATTATGAAAAGGCATACGAGAACTGAGATGAATTCAAATGGCGGCTGCGTCTCCCCATCTCATACTCAGCTGGGGTCCTATGCTCACTAAATGGAGAATTGGACGGAATTTCCAGCATTACACATACTCTTTTCTGTCTCTCTCTCAAAAAAAAATTACATTCAAAGATCTGAATTTACTTAAGTGAAACAGCAGTAGAATGGAACTTCATTGCGTTAATAGGCAATTAAGACATCTGCAAGGACAATTTTGACCAAATACAATTTTTAAATTTACCTGCTGACCTGAAATCTAATCCATGTATTAAGATACACTGTAAAGGAGTATATCTCCCTGCACTCCCAGAATAGCAACAAGAACTTTCTAACTATTACACCTTATCACACATTATACTATGGACCCAATCCCCCAATAAAGGAACATGTTTGAACACAATAGGAAAAACAATCCAGCCTGAGATGAATGCTGACTGAAGGCAAGGATGAACACAGGATGGGTGGCACATGAGGGAACTCATAAATACTAACTACTGTTTCATGGTAAGCTGGAGAAAAAGCAATCACGGCTTCCAGCAAGACTTCAGATTTATACTTAGCTAACTGAAGAGTAAACTCACTAACTAAACCTCTTCCTAATTTTCCTTTTTCCTTCTAAACTGGAATTACTGATAACTTAATAAAGCTTTATTTTGTATTATACATATAATTATGAACTAGTGACCCTAGATTTACCACTTACCACATGGAATAATGCTAAAATATAAGATCACAAAAAAGCAACTATAGATTGTAGATTCAGACTTGGCAGACAGCTTTTAAAAGAGCCTACAATGCCACTCCTGGTTAAAGACAGCTTGGTGTAACCTGGCATTGCTATCACATTGAGGACAGGCTTAAGTGTGGATGCTATTAGATTGGGGCCATTGTGGAGATAGTTATCCTTGGAAGAGAAGGGTGTTATGTGCCTAGTGGGTAAGAATAGTACACAATGAAGAGCAGTTCATGAAACTGGGTGCTTTCCACTACGTTCCTTCCAAATAAAGCACTTTCTGTAGGCATTATTTTATTCTGAGACTCTACAACCCTCTGGCTACAAATTAAACCAAAACTTGACTTCTAGCCCCGAAGCAGCCATTATAGGCTAGACACAAGGAAAACCCAAGAGTCTACAAGGGGGCCTAATACAAAAATTCTGCTCTGTGGGGGTAGTCTTTATTAGACAGTGACTAAACAATCCAAACAGATCTACTCTTTAAGAACTATGATGCAAGACATAAAGAGTTACAAAGGAAAAAAGTAATTAAGAAAGTCATGTGATAGAGAGAAAGCACATAGAAAGAATGATGGTGGCAGGTAAGTGGTGACAGTGGTAAAAGTGGCAGAAATAAAGAAAGCTGATGCACAAAGATGGAAAGCCCTGCAGGTTGGTATCATCCCTGAATAATTTTGCAATTCTCCATGAGGACTGAAAAGTCAATTTTCTGTGTTTTCCTCACTACCCTGTATATTCTCCCAATAAATTCCTGACAATAAAAAGGTAGTTATTTTTGTTCCTAGAAGGTAACAGTTATTTGGTAAAAGCTGTCAATATATCCTTGTGAAATCCAAACTAGATGTCTCAATGGTTCTTAAATAGTTAACACTGCTATAAGATACTACTCTCCATCTTCTCTGGTATAATTCTAAAACTATTTTCCAACTTTATTTATTAGGTGTTACAGTCTTCCTTAGTTATAAAGGAGTCACTGATTTGGAATTTCTATTTATTAGTGAGGCTAAAACTGAACTCTAAGGCAGTGTGCTTCCTATACTGCTTTAATGTAATAAACTATGTAAGTACTTTCATGGAGTAGGAGGGCATCAGGGGCCAGAAGAGAAGTACATAGGTATGTTATTAATCAATATAGTTCAAGTGATAATGAATACCTGGTGTCAGCCTAATGGTTAAAAATGGCAGGTAAGAATTTGGCTAACGGGACAATATTTAGGGACTTTTAAGATCTTAGGTTCAAATGGCAAAGTTCAATTAAAAAAACTGTAAATATAACAGAATTTCTATACACAAGTAAGAACACACTTTTTAACAAGCTCAATTTAGCCTGGCATGAAAGTTTGCATGTTATTACTTGTAAGGCACTACATTTTTTACACATACATTTTCTCTAGTCCTAACATCTCTGCTTAGGAAGGATTTTTCCTAGTCCCACTTTATAGATGAGGAAACCATCAGAGAGGTTAGACACAGTGTCCAAGACACACAGTGAAGTCTAAGAGCTGATGTCTGTGGACCCAGATCAGAGTGACTCAAAAGCCAAACTTTTTCTGTTACTATACCAGATTACTCTGAATCAGGGTCATTATTAAGTTTAAACATAATATATGATTATATGATCAGGAGGAAAAAAAACTAAAAATTGTAATGATTTTTCACTCTGGTAACTGTAATCAAATTGGTTTGAAAAGATTATAAAATGACAAAAGCTATACATGGAATTTCACTCAGTTGTGCTAAGTAAGCCCTGTTAGTACCTTGGCCAGTTTCTCTGGGATAAGTTCCTCTTTTGGACCTCCAATTTCCTCATCATCATCATCCTTCTTCTTTTTCTGATTTCTTTGCTGCTTTTCTTTTTCTGCATTTTTTTTCTCTTCTTCTAACTGGGCTTTCTTTTGAGCTCTTCTTTGTTTATTACGTAGTTTCTTTAGCTCTTTGTCAGACATGTTTGCTGTAAGAAAAGTGTTAATTAATGAAATTACAAGCACAGTGATCAGATTAGTAATGATCAATTAATACTATTTAATATTCCCATATAAACTCTCATAAAAAATACTGTATGTTATACATGTTCATGTGCTCATGTGTACCTAGCCTTTTAATGGTTCCACATTTGATAGAGGACACTATAATCTTCTCAAAAAAATTTTTTTGAACCCAAGTAGAGACCTGGTGCTGCAACAATAGCAAAGAATAAAAGCACAGAAGTTCCTCCTATAGCGTTAAACTACTTGCAATTCTAGGAACGTAACAAATTGTTTCATATCTCTGTGGCTTTGGACTATGCTTTCTCTTAGTTATGCCTTCTCTAACCTTGTCAACAGTTAATCATTCTCTTAATACATATTTGCTTGTTGCAGTATTTTATTATACCTGTTTCTCTTTTAGACCTGTGAGCTCCTTGATGCAAGAAACCTTGTCTTATTTGTCGTCTTTGGATTCTCAGGGCCTAATAGCATACCAAAACACACAGGAACACCCAAATATTTGTGGATAGAATAATGAATAACTTCAGGTAAACTTAAAATGTGACAATGAACTTAACAGATCTTGAGAAACAAACTATGGAATGCCTCAAAAAAAAAAAAAAGGACTCGAAATTACTGACCAATATTCTGTGATAAAGAGAAAAATCTATGTTGTTTAGACTTCAAGCAATAAATCTGAAAGCTATGTGTTCAATCAACATTATTTGGATAACACTTGTTAACACTGAGAAATGAAAAAGGATGGAGCTAGAGGGTATTATGCTCAGTGAAATAAGCCAGGTGGAGAAAGACAAGTATCAAATGATTTCACTCATCTGTGGAGTATAAGAACAAAGCAAAAACTGAAGGAACAAAACAGTGGCAGACTCACAGAACCCAAGAATGGACTAACAGTTGCCAAAAGGAAAGGGACTGGGGAGGATGGGTGGGAAGGGAGGGAGAAGGGGAATAAGGGGCATTACAATTAGCACACATAGTTGGCGGGGTGGGGGTGGCACGGAGAAGGCAGTATAACACAGAGAAGACAAGTAGTGACTCTATAGCATCTTACCACACTGATGGACAGTGACTATAATGGGGTATGTGGTGGGGACTTGATAATGGGGGGAATCTAGTAACTATAATGTTGCTCATGTGACTGTATATTAATGATACCAAAATAAATAAAATAAAACAAAATACACCAGCATTGTGGTGATTTTAAAATACACCCACAAATTCTTCCCTTCGAAAGGTAGAACTTATTTCCTCTTTCCTTAAATGTGGGATATAATTATTGACTTACTTCTAATGAATAAAAATTACATGAAATTCAAGATGAGGACATAAAAGCTCTGTGGATTACTCCTTGTTTCTCTTAGATCACTCACAGGAAGGCACCTGCCATGCTGTGAAGAAACCCCAAAAACCTTATGGAAAGGCCCAAATGGCCAAGAACAGGCCTCCGGCCAGCAGCCATCTTAGAAACAGATTCTCCAACCCAAATCCTTCAGATGCCTTGGCTTACATCCTGACTTCAACCTCCTAAGAGACCCTCAGTTCTTCTATAAATCATACAGTTAAGTGGCTTCTGGATTCCTGGCCTACAGAAACTCTGAAATAAATGTTTGTTATTTAAAGATGCTAAGTGTAAGTAATGTGTTATGAAATGACAGATAACCAAGGTAGATTTTGGTACCTGGAAGTGGGGTGCTGATGCAAGAAAAGCTTAAAATGTGGGAGTGACTTTAGAACCACGCAGCGGCAAAAGAGGAAAAGACTTGAAGAAGAGCATTAATGGAAGCTCAAAGAGCTTAAAACTATTAATAGAGGTCTGGATTTTGGAGAAGTTTCAAGTGAGGGTTTAGAGTGAAGCTAGGAACTTGTTACAGTCATGCAGCAGCAAAAATGTTTAGCAACATTTATAAAATGTATCAAATTAACAATGATCTAGCTAGGGGAATTTCCAGTGTCAGTTGCTCCCCCCATGCCCTCCCCCCAGTCCCCACCAAAGTGTTGAAAGTAGCACCTGATTCCTCTTGCTGCTTGTAGTAAAAATGCAAGAGACAGGAACTAATGAAGGAGCAGAGACTTCATGGATCTGAAAATTCTCAGCCTCTCCAGATATGGCTGCTGAGCAAAGATCAAATCCTGGGCAGTGCCAGGAAAATACGGCCAAAGGGAAGGGAAGAGTTGGACTTTAAAATATTTTTGTTAAGACTTCTAACTCAGAAAGATGGTGCCTTAATTACTAGTCACACAAAAGGCTCTCTTAAAAATTTTAAGGGTATGACTCAAACAACAGCTTCTAAGCAACTTAGGAGTAACTGCCCTCTCAGAAAACCTTTAAGTAGACAAAGATATTTGTGCATGTAGATTCTAGTACAATTCACACAAGATCCGTAAAGATTCTAATAGAATTATATGGACAGACATAGCATATGTGGACCAAAAGGAACAGAGAGTATAAAATGAAAAGAGGGCTTCAGACCACCCCAAGCTTTGGAGGCAGATTGAAAAACTACTCAGTTGCAAACAAGAAAAAGGAAAGATGATGGCAGAAGATGATGGCAGATGGAACCAAGAACCCAGAGGGCAGAGCCAAGAGCCATGGAGAATTATTCCTAGGTCAAGTCCTAATCAAAGAACTGCTAACCTGTACCCAACTGGACTTGAGAACAGACATGAACCAGGAACTCCTGTGTGCCCACTGTTTTCCCCTCACCACCCCTTTGTGAATAAGAATATCTACTACAATGGGTGCCCTATTCCTCTCCCATCCTTTTATACTGGGTATGTAGTTGGTAGGTAACTTTAGTTCACAGGATTTTACAACAAGAACTATACTTCAAGAGCTACATTAAAAAACCATACTCAAGAAACCTCACCATACCTGCACCTTATCTATATGACAGCATTCTGACTCTGAACTAATGCTCTAATGAAATAAGACTTCTGGAGGCCTTTGGAGAGGCAAGTGTATTTTGCATGTAAGAATAATGCAAATAAATGGTGTCCAGAATGCAGAAAATGGCAGTTAAAAATGTCCACAAATTCTTTGATTCTCCTCATTCAAGTATAGGTTGCACTTGGTGACTCCCTTCAACCAATTAGAATGATAAGGAAGTTATGGGGCATTTTGTCAAGAGAATAGAACATCAAAGGTTGCAGCTTCTTCCTTGTTCTCTCTCAGGCTAGCTACCGTGTTTTAAGGAACTCAATAATGCTCTAGAATAACTAAGGAATTAAAGCCTCCTGCCAAAGGCCACATGAACAAGCAGTTGGGAAACAGCCCAGTCAAACCTTCAGATGACTGAAGCCCTTGCTAATATCTTAACTAAACAATTTCTTAAGAGACCCTGAGCAAGGGCCATCTAGAGAGATGCTTCTGAATTTCTGATCTATGTGAACAGTTGTTTTAAGCTGCTTAAGTTTGGGGGTCATTTACTTGCAGCAATACATCAACAACTATCAAAAACAAATACCTGTTTCCCTTTTTCCTGGTAAAGAATTCCTTATTACTAAAAAAGAAAATTTCAAACAAGCACCAAAAATCACATTCTGGAAACACAAGACTATGAATGAGTGGCCACATAAATTCTGACCTTTCAATGATTTTTAAAATAATTGCTACTGCTTTTTACTACATACTACAGTACATACATTATTTTATTTAATATTCTCAGTATTAAATAAGATAAATAAAATACTAGAATAAGAGCATAATATTATTTTATATATGAGAAAACTGAAGTTTCAGAGGAAAAATGACTTAGTAAAACAAGGAACAAGCCTAAACTTTGAGGTCAGAGCAAGGTTAAATCCACTTCACTCTGATCTCAAAGTCTAGGCTCTTTTCTTTCTACTGTGCTACTCCAGGGGTCAGCAAACTTTTCCTGTAATGGACCAGATACTAAATATTTTCATCTTTGCAAGCTAAAGGTCTTTGTTGCAACTAAATAGCTGTTGTAGCATGAAAACAGTCATAATATACAAAAAAATGGGCTTGGCTATGTCCCAATAAAATGTTATTTACCAAATCAAACTGCCTTATGAATTTGGCCTACTGGCTAGTCTGTGACCCTATTCTATAATACCTGCCACTTTGAAAGGACTCATGTCAGTTTATAATAATATAGTTATTACCAAACCATAGAAAATTAATACAGAAATTAAGAGTTCAAATCCTATGTTACTCAATTTTGCACTAATTACCAGGATAAGCATTGTTTCAAATTTACATGAATTAGCCACCACTTGTATGAATGTAACAGAGGCTCAGAATTTTAGCTTAGGAGATACCAGAGGAAAATTCTACTATGTTAGAAGATAATATCGCACAATCTTTAAAAAAAAAAAAGTGTGTGTATATGCAAATATATATGTATATACAGAGAAAATAACATCTGAACCTAGACTACTCTGTCCAGCCAAACTAACATACACATAAGAAGGCAAAATAAATCTGGCCATATGAAGCCTCTTAAATTTGCCGAAAAGAAAAAATAAGAAGTGACATATAACTTCTTAACCAAAAAACAAAGCAATTAGAATTGACCCTTGAACACAGGTCTGAACTGTGTGAGTCCACTTATACAAAGATTCTTTTTCAATAAATGTATTGGAAATTACTTTGAGATTTGTGATAATTTGAAAACCTGGCAGACAAACCACATGGCCCAGAAATATCAAAAAATTAAGGAAAATGTATGTCATGAATGCATAAAACATATATAGATGCTAGCCTATTTTATCACTCACTTCCATACAATCAACTGCAGAGTATTAATAACTGTTAAGTTTTTGGGGAGTCAAAAGCTATACGTGGATTTTTGACTGCATGTGGCAGGGATCCAGGGGGCGTTGGCGGGTGGAGTGGGATAGTCAGTGCCCCCCAACCCCCACAATTTTCAAGGGTCAACTGCACCAGATATGTACTATAAATATTAACCTTTACAGTGAACTATCAGAAATAGTACTGTTG